GGGGAAGCCAGGCCTGGGGGCGAGGGCAGGCTTGCAGGGGAGGGGAAGCCAGGCCTGGGGGCGAGGGCAGGCTTGCAGGGGAGGGGGAGCCCTGTGGCCAGGTGGGGGGGGCAGGCTTGCAGGGGAGGGGAACCCTGTGGCCAGGTGGGGGGGCAGGCTTGCAGGGGTGAGGAGCCCTGTGGCCAGGCTGAATTTGAGGTATGTGTCTGAGGTCATGAAAAGGGTCTACGTGGAGCACTACATGGTCAGTGCTCAGGGGACCTGGGGACAAGGGCCCAGGGAGCAGAGGTTAAGTCCTGGCTTTTGAGATGAGTGGCTGAGGAGGGGGGAAGCCTGTGCAGGAGAGGGGGTGTGGGGTGGGGGAGACCGACAGCCCCGGGGCGCCTCCCTGCTCCAGGAGCTCACGCGCCGACTCACTCACTCCTTGGACACACACTAACTGGACCTACACTGTGCTGACATCAGTGGCCACGCAGGTGTGTTGACCACAGCGTCCCCCAACCCAAGAACTGCCAGGCCCGGGGTGTGGGGGAGACATGAGCAGAGGGTAGCTGTGAGACGCATCCAGCCAGTGCACCCCCACGCTGGGTCCTGAGTGCTCCTCAGGGGTGATGACATCTCAGTCTACACGGAAGATGGGGGCCAGCTGGAGAAGTGGGGCTCCAGGCTGTGGAGACTCTTCCAAACTCACAAGTGAACCAAATGCCGTTGGGGGGGCCGGGGCCGGGGAAAGGCACGTCGGGCTGCTTGCCAGGGAGGCTTGGCTCTGCGGACTGGGGGAGACGTGTTCGCGGGCCCCACAAACGCCACCTCCCCGAGCCGGGAGGAAGCACGGGCAGTGAAGAGCAGCAACCACACTAGTTGAGGTCACCAGGGCGGGGCTGACAGGAACTGCCATCCCGTCATCCTGTGACGCTGGACAAGGGGACAGGCCCAGCGTGCCCGGGCACTGTGCAGGGCCAGGACAGGCCTCACGGGCTCGGCACGAGGGAGCCACGGAGCAGAGGGAAATCCCCATGGACGTCGCGGTCCCCGGGCTCAGCCCCACCCGCCCCTGCAGCACCGTGAGCTTCCATGCTTCTGGTGACGGGAGCTCACCGCCAAGCTCAGCAGCTCGGGCCAACGCTTTTGTTGACTAGTGACATCAGACACTAGTAAGAGGCTCACACGCCCCGCTCATTTAACCCTGCAGCGGGTGTGATTACCATCCATTTCACACACGAGGAGGCCGGGGCAGAGAGGCCAGCTGAGCTCCAGGGGACTCTCCGGGGCCCTTTGAGTACAGTGAGGCTGCGGCGGCCACCGTCCTCGCGTGGCACCGGCTTCCCGTCTCCCCAGACAGGATGAGCAAACGTGCCTGCAGCTAGCAAGCAAACCGCAGGCTCCCAGCAGCTGCGTGACGGATGGACAGGACGAGTGCTAACAGATGACCAGATGAACACGGTCCGGAGGGACAAAGAAGACGCAAACAAGCGTGTGCGGGATGAACAAGGAGGGGAGGAGGCGAGAGGAGACGTGAGCCCATAAATTTTGCTGAATGGAATGTACCTTCGCTCCTTCGATCCCAGAAGCTGCCCCCCGGCGGCCTGGCGACCCCTCTGAGCAGGCGGTCTTCTCTCCAGGCCACCAGGGGAGACCGCCCACCAGGCCCGGGAGATGGGGACACCCGCCTTCCCAGACGGACGCATGCCCACCCCCCAGACGGGAAGGGCTGCCCAGCTGCGGACAAGCAGGCTCGGGAGGACACATGTTTGCCGAGGCCAGAGGCCAGGGGCAAACATGTCTGCAGCAGGCACACAGCCCAGCGCCGCGGACCCCCGCCCCGCGGAGGGTGAGGCGGAGGGCACGTCTGGGCTGGACACGGTCCCCAAGCACAAGGGACAGACTGCGCTCTGGCCAGCGCCCGGCCGGGTGCGCTCGGCCCCGCCTCTGCGCCGTCCCTCCCGGCTGTTCCGCGAACCTGCTTGCTGCTTTCCAGGTCCTACCGCTCCAGGCCGGGCGTGCAGACCCCTCCTCCACGGGGAGCGTCCAGCGCTCACCACTGGAATGACGCCTGCCTGGTCTCCCCTAAGCACAAGTCAGCCTGCCTGTGTCCCTGCTCCGGGGGCGCTTGCTCTGTTCAAGACCGTGATGTTGCCTCCAGGAAGATGTCAGACTCCTGGCCGGGGCGGGGGTCATCAAGTCCACCCTCCTCGCTGCCCGCACAGCCCCCCTGCAGCCCACCCCTGGTCCGCATGGGCCCCAAGGGTTGGGCGCAGCCACTCACAGCCCGGGCACTGGCACGCAGTCCTCTGGGCCCTGGGGCTAAAGAGGAGGAAGCAGGCTCAGAGGAGAGCCCCGCTCGGGCCACACGGCAGGTGGACACCACGCTGCGCTGCGAAGGCCGTCGGAGGCCCAGCTCCGTCCACTCGCCCCTGGAGGGCAGCTGGATGTCGCCGAGGACAACCCAGCAGCTAAGGTCCTGTGCTCCTGTGCTGTGCTGCACCCTACACCCGCCACAGAGCCCCACGAGGATCGACGTGTCCTCTTCACGATGAGGCAGCCGAGGCGCAGGGGCCAGGGGCCAGGGGCCATCTGTCCAAGGCTCCCAGGGGCTCCTGCCGTGAACCCCGGCCTCAGGCGCCGACCCTGCCACCTGCCTGCTGCCTGGCGGCCGCCCTCGCCAGCTCTGGACGGTGTTCCCTGCGGAAAGCAGCCTCAGGGGCGCTGGTGGGGAAGCGGGACAGGCGGGAGGGGCGGCCGTGGCGCTGAGGCTCAGATGCAAAGGCAGGCCCTTTCGCATGTGGCCGCGGAGGGGCTGGCATGGAGCGTGGTGGAGCCGTGACGCGGGGCGGGCGGGGCTCTGCTTACCCACGCACTTCCTGTGCCTGTTGAGGATAAAGCCCTCGGCACAGAGCACTGTGTGGTTGACACAGTAGAAGGATCCCAGGGTGTTCACACAGAACTGTCGCCGGCTACAATCGTGAGTGCCCATCAGGCACTCGTCTCGGTCTTGTGGCAGCCGCGGGAGGAAAAACAGAAGGGCCGTTAGAGCAGCGTGAGCAGGCTGGGGGCACCCAGAGACGGCGGGAGGAGCCCCAGCGGGGCGGGGGCCGGCCCGGGGCCGCCCCGCCTGTCGGTGCGAACTCCGAGCTGCGGGTGCCGGTCTGGACGGTTCGGTCCGAGAGGTGAGAGCGGACGCCGCCTCTCAGTGAGGGCAGGCGGCAAGGCATGGCTCAGAGAGGGGGACCGCCTGCCCGGGGTCACACAGCAGGGCGGCGTCGGGCCACCCTCGCCCAAGCCGGCAGATGCTCTGTCTCCACGGGCAGCCCCGGAGGGAGCCACACCCCGCGGGGGCTGCAACGAGGCGTCGGGCCGAGAACGTGAACGGGGGGGACCAACGAGGGCCCCAGGAAGACTGCGGGGCCCGTGCTCCCCCCAAAGCGGGGCTCGGGTGTGGCCCCGTGGACAGAGTTTATGAAATTTCGAGAGAAACCAGAAATCTGGACTTTTTTCCCCAATTCTTGAGCTTTTCAAGTCGGTAACTTGTATGATTATTTTAAAATGGCATTTCAGCTTCTGGCGGGGACTTGGGTATTTCCCCAGACAGGGTGACCCACCTGTCCCCGGACACCCAGCAGGGTCCTGCTTCTCGAACTTGAGCTTGAACTGAAGGGCTTCCGAGCCCCCTCACGCTCCATCTGTCCCGCCCCAGACATGAGGAGGTGCAGCCTCAGGGCCTCCTGGGTTTTCAAGGTGGCACCTGCTGCAGGAGCCACCCAGCAAGAGAGGCCCCTTTCCAGCGGGAGAGGGCCGGCTGCCCGGGCCCTGAGACAAGACCCAAGCTGAAGGCCACCAGTGCGACAGGGACGTGCTTTGGGACCCGCGCGGCCCCTGTGTGCGTGGCAGGGGCAGCCCATCACCCACACCCGCTGTCCCCTCTGGGGACAGAGCCGGGCCATCTGGCCGGGCTCTTACTCGCCGAGGCAGGTGGGGGCCATTGCAGACCCCGCCTCGCACAACAGGGCGGTGCTCTGCCCTCCCCGTCCTCCACCACAGCTGGGGCAGGGGCTGGGGGCCCACGGCAGCCCCAGACAGGGGCCGTCCAGTGCGGTCTGGGGTCCCGCAGCATCGATGTCAAGGGGCAGTATTCGTGTCAGGAATATGAATTCTGGGCCCCCCAAACCCACTGGGTCTGGACCTGAGGATCACACAGGTCTCTCCAGCTCCATGTTGGCCCCTGGCCCCGGGCGCAGCCCCAGGGAGTGGCTGGCTGTGAGGCGGAAGAGGCCGGGGGCCTGGCCAGCCCATGTGCTGCAGGCCGGGCACGAGGCTCGGGGGGGCCGCTCGCCCACTCACCTTCACAGGACACGCCGTCCGCCATGATGGCGTAGCCCGGGAAGCAGGAACACATGGCCGTGTCCCCGACGATGCTGCACACCTGCTTGCAGGGCCCGTTTTCTGCAAGGAAGATTCGCAGGATCAAGGCCCACTGCCCTGACCTTGGCCCATGCTGGCTGTGCACCCCCAGCCCTGACCTGGAGGCCCGAGGTTGGGGAGACCAGGACCCTCGCCTCCGGCCCTGCTCACAGGCTCATCCGATAACTTGGTCCATCAGCTGGTGTCTGGGGCGTGGGGCGAGGCTCTGGACCTCCCATCACGACCGCGTGACCACTACACCCCTCCCGCTAGTGACAGGGACGGTGGTGACCGGGGGAGAAGAAAGCAGAGATGAGACCCAAGAAAGGACGAAGAACAGAAAGGACGTTCTCGGGGACTGAATGCAGTCTCTGGCAGAGCTCTCTCCCACGGTTCCTGAACTGAGATGCCTGGCGTCACACACACGCCCCAGGCTGCCCCCACCCCCAGCTCCTCCCACCCTCAGACAAGCAGACCCACTGGCCCCCCACAGCAGCCCCCACCCGCAGGGGCGACGCCGGACGCCCGGCAGTGGGGGCTCCCCGTTGCGAGCAGCCCTGCCCCCTTACCTTTGCAGGTGTTGGGCTGGGGCAGTGGCAGCGGGATGGTGTTGGGGACCACCTGAGCAGACTCGGGTCTCCGTGCGGACTCCTCCGCGGCCTTGGGCGGTGCCGGGTTGTCATCTGTCGTGGGCAGAGCAGACGGGCGGGGGTGGGGGAGGGAGAGGTCACGCGGTCGGCCAGGCCTCCGACCCTCGCACACAGAGGGCCGTCCCCAGGCTTCACACTGGGCCCCGGGGCGAGCGCGTCCTCACAGCCATTCCAGGCAGAGGAAGCAAGGACAGAGAGGTAAGGAGGGGCGTCGCCAGGCTGAAAACGGACATACTCCTGAGAGCCGCCAGGGAGACGCCCTCCTGGACCAGGGGCGAGGCCCTCCTGGGGCTGATCACCACGGCTGTGATGGGGCCACAGCTCGGGTGGTGGGGGGCCCCGAGGGTGAGCCCTGGGCGGCTGTCTGCCCACCTCCCAGACCCGCACCACGGCGGGCCCTGAGGCGGGGGGAGGGACCCCTAGGCCCCACTGCAAGAGTGCCACACTCCCCCGGCAAGGTCAGTGTGCTGCCCCATCCCCTGCCCTGCCACCTGGGTGCTCACCTGGGCGGCAGGTACGCCCGTCGCCCTGCAGCGAGAAGCCGGGAAAGCAGGCACAGTGGTAGGAGCCCACGGTGTTGATGCAGAGATGCTGGCACAGCTCTCCCGGGAGGAGCAGGCACTCGTCCTGGTCATCGCCAGGCAGGCTGTTGGGCAGCTCGGTCTCTGTGCCCAGAGACAGGGCCTCCCGGCTCACCACGTCTGCCTCTGAAACTGGAGTGGGAGTTAGAGCTCGTGACCGGAGCCGGGCGGGCTCTGCGGGCGGCTGAGGCCACGGGCCCCAGGGCAGGGCCCCACCAGAGCCCCAGGGGCCAGCAGACACACGGCTGGGTGAGGGGCCAGAGGAAGAACCATGAGAGGTGGGTGGCTGGGGGGAGGATGGTGGGCGGCTGAGGAGGCAGACGGCTGGGTAGGTGACGGACAGACGGGAGGATGGCTAGACGGGTGATGGATGGAGAGGGGACGGGTGGACGCACAGACGGATGGGGGGACAGCACCACCGTGAGGGAGCCCGTCAGAGAGCGGGGTGGGGTCCTCATCGCCTGGACCCCGAACCGCAGGCCAGGCCCCTGTGGACGCTGGGAAGCGCTGGCCTGACAGCGGAGGTGGACGAGGACCCGCGACTCAGCAGCACACAGACCTCCCCGGACAGACAAAGGGGAGCCCCACTTGGGCTCCATGACTCTCACTCGGGCCTCCTTGTGGCCTCATGGAAGGATGGGGGAGCTCAACCCGGCCCCCAACCCACCCAGCAGGAGGTATTTCCCGGGACTGGACAGCCTCCGTGTCCACACGGCCAGCAGGCGGGCCAGTCCCTCTGTCGTGTCGCTTCCCCGGCCTGGCCTGCTGTACCCCTACATGTGTGCCCAGGCCCTGCCCCGGCGGGAGACCCAGGCGTCGGCTGGGCCCATCACCACACCCAAGACACAGCCCCGTGGCGTGCTGGCTGTCCTCCCGGGACCCCGGGCCCATGACAGGCACGCACAGATGTCCAGCCTCTGCGTCGCACTGCAGCAGGGCCCCGGGTCGAGTGGACGCAAGGAAGGGCCGAGGGGTCCAGGTCAAATCCTGGGCACCAGAAAGCTTGGGCAGAATGGAGGTTGGCAGAGAGCCGGGAGTCCAGGCCAGGCTGTGCCAGAGACCTGTGTGCCTGGGTGAGGCTCTGTCCTGGACCTCAGCCTCCTGCCCTGGTCACTAGTCGGAGGCCCCGGAGAGGCCTTGTGGGTAAGCTCGTGACGAGCTCCCGTCTCAGGTCCGGCCCTGAGCAAGGGGAAGAGCGGACCCTGACTGAGACAAAGGCTCGGCGCAGGGTCGGGACAGCCACGGACAGAGGTGGCGTGTGGACGACGGCCTCTGCGGACGCCCGTGAGAGGGCCGCCACCCCGGCTTTCTGTCACGGTCTGCACACTGTCTGGGACAGCCCACAGGGCCTCCAGATGGCCACACGTCTGGGGGCCGCGGTCAGAACGCTCCTGAGCGCCTGGCCTCCAGGGTCAAGGCTGAGGTGCACCACACCCTCAGGCACGGTCCACCAGGCTCTCACGCCACAGGCTGCAGGGCTGCCAGGCCAGCTGCGCCAGGGACACCCGCTGACGCAGCAGGACACCACACGGCCCCTGTGGGCCCACAGACAAGAAGGGGCTTCGCAGCCCTGAGACAGCCCTGGCTGGGGAGGCAGAGGCGGAACGTGGCAGCCTTGGCCTCAGTGGCCACAGCACCAGGAGGGCGGAGGGGAGAGGAGCCGCCAGGGCGCTGGGGCCGGGAGCGCCGGGACGAACGGACATGCAGGTGAGCAAGGCGGGAGGGGACAGGTGAGCGGGGAGTGCAGGTGGCAGGCGGCCGGGAACTGGGTGGCTGGGAGGGACGAAAAATGGACGAGACCCTCTCGGCAACAACGGTAGACTGCGCCACCAGCGCCACGGAGGACCCCTGTCGGGGCAGAGCTTGTGCCTCAAGCCACAGACGACAGGGCCTGGGCCCCCGCAGGAGGTCGAGACGCCAGCCGTGGCTCGAGGCGCCAGAGCGCCCCCCTCACCCCGAGGGCCGGGCGAGGGCTGAACCTACCTCTCCGTGGCATGGCCCTGGGCTCGGGGGCCTGGCGCACCTCGGGCACCATGAGGGGGTCTTCGTCCTCACAGCAGGAGAGCATGACGTGGTTGCAGGGGTAGCCCAGGTTGGGGTTGGACTCGCACACCTGGCCCTCGGCCCGCACGCGGAGCCCCAGGCCACAGCAGTCACAGCATTGCTGCGGAGGGACGGCTG